TTCAAGAAAAAGATTGCAGAGTATACCTCACACCAATACGTCGTGTTCCCCCAACACTTGGAACGCTGATCACAACTTTTCGCACCACATTTTAATACGCCTGTAGCGCTGGTTGCCCTAAGAAGTTCTGAAAGAGCCCTCTGATCCCCACCCACGGAACCACCTTTCACTATCCAGCTGAATAGGACAAGGCTGGATAAGAGAGCACAAACTAAGTACTAACCACCGACCTTCAGGGCTTATGGGCATTTTGGAAATCGTAGATTCGCGAGGCAACACTTGCACTTGGTTTTGCCAAGGTTTGAGATGCAGACTGGAACAAAAGCCGAGTGACGCTGGGGACTTCACACAGCTCCGCATTCTGAAGTTTTTTCATAGCATATCTTACAAGGTCAGAACAAGTTAATGGCACGGCGTTCCCAGGAAGCGACGCATCCTGCGCTATCCCAGTGGAGGGGGGATAAATGAGCTAGCTGGGAGAATAAACGATCCAAACACCAGATTTGGCATCAACCTAGCTTCTTTCAACGTTATATGCGAAGACATTTCTTTTCGATATATGGCTTCAAGCATTTACATAGATAGCTCGATTGGTCAATAGACCACTACAAGGTCTAAATTGATGCAGAATGAATGTTCGGTTGACAACTAGTTATAGGGTCACCATATGTAAATAGGGAAAAGCCGGGTAAAATTGTGAAAAGTGGATACGATATGAAGAGTGTTGGTCAAGAATGAATATAACAGATGTAAAAGTGTGGGAAAACAACAGTAAATAAGGAGAGAGAGGAAGAGAATCCAAAAAGCGTCACAGATATGTGTATAGTTATTCATGTATGATTAAATAACACCAACCTTTTCAGAAACGGTGCCAGTGACCGAGAGTTCAAAGAGCTGAGCGAACAAAAAATAATCAGTTTTCCGCCGGGGGATAATAACATTTTTTACTTGTTAATCACACGCAACAGTTACTGTTTTGTCCATTTATTCTTGGATTGCAGGCAAGAGTTGCATTTATACCACCGATTTTGCTTTGGTGTCATATCCCACAATGACTCCAGTCAACAACAACCTGATGTTTCGAGACCCGGCCTGGATACCGAGAAGCCCTGACAGAACCCAGATCTGAGCCAATTTTTTCAACCCTCAACACCATGTCACAGCTTACCCTATCCGTTGTTTACTGCAGTCCGGCTCAATCTGCAAATACTGCACGATAGGGTTGACGTCGTTTAAGTATTCGTAGTGTAATAATTCCGCAAAGCGGTGCCTGGTTGAGGATAGTGAATGGAACGGCCCACTATAAGATGCGCATTCTCGTAGTTACCATACTAAACAGCAGTAATTCGCTCCAACAGGTCTTGTTCAATTTCGACCTTTGAAAGAAACCGCTGATCGCATTTTTTGCGAACTACTCACAAATGTTAGTAGTATCTTACAACACTCGTTCTCATCCGGTGAAAATGAAATTCACATGCAGCGAGCAATGACATGTTTCTTCTGAGAATTCGAACGGGTTTGTATTTGGTTGACAACTTCTTGTCGTTTCATGACTGAGTCCTGGTGACGGCCAGTAGGTTGAATTCGGACTACAGTTTGGCGTACTGCTATAGTCCCGGCTCTACCTATCGTGTTCACTTGGATACATACACCTGTCGCCGTTTGTCTCTTGAATTTGTTCGCTAGATGCTTTTCTTTCCGTATTCTACATGATATTTCCAATCTGAGGAGCTTCAGTTCAGTTTCAGTTTGTACAACTATTAACCATGCACAATCGTGCGCCGGTTTTGGTTGCTATCTTTCGGTTACCCATTTGGATGAACATTAGGAGAAAGACAGAAAAGGTTGAAAGTAGGATCAAAGAGAATATTAAAAATTTCAGTGGACTAATGATACAGAGAAATTTAGAAGATGAACGAACGCCACTGTTTACGACACAGCTATATCACTTGATGTCTCTATCATTCCGAGGTCCCCATCCAGGGAGCCTAACAGGACCTACGTGACTCAGACTCTTGGTCAGGGTTTTCATACCCTCGTGCCAGGTCTTAGCTTGACCACCCTCGGATTTCTTCCACTCACCACCTGCCTCGGCAAACATCGCTCGCGGTGGCAACCTATCTGGTGACATGCGTGAAACACGTCCCAACCAACGTAATCTATGGAGATCGACAACTTGCTCCAGTGGACGACCGCAGTTAGCTAAAACTCTACGTCTAACCTCAGTATTGCACGTCCGGCGGCCTTAACAGATTCGTGCAATGCTGCGTAGACAGCGATGTTCAAACACCGACAGTCTATCTCTGTCCTGTTTTATTAATGGCCAAGTTTTTGCTCCAAATGGCAGAACTGGCCGAGCTGCTGCAGCATACACTCGACCCTCAACAGACAGCCGGATGTCGCGACGGCGCCACAGATGTCTCAAGTTGGCAAATGCCAACCGAGCCTTCTGTATGCGAGCTGACACTTCATCCGTGATGCGTCCNCCGGGTAAGATGTAGCTGTCCAGATAACAAAACTTCTCCACCTGCTCTATTACTTCCCTAGTTAGAACGAGGCTGGGTGCTGGACCAACCCAGTCTTGTAATAGCATTTTACACTTTGAAGGTGCAAAACGCATACCGAACATGGCAACACTAGCACTCGAACTATCCAGAAAAGCTTGTAACTTACCTGGATCTTTACTCAGTAGCACAATGTCGTCTGCATACTCTAGATCAGACAGCCTGCTACCTGGGAGTAACTTTCTGGAACCAGGGTTGCTGACACGGCTTCCGATGTGGTGCTTGCACTTTGTTCCCGGCACTTTCAGAAGTGCTCTTGGTTTCCGGTCAACCGGCATTCCTAACTTGCTCATCGTCTTGTTGCGCATTCTGGAAAAATTTTGCTTGTTTGTCGTATTCTCAATGGAGAACGTTCGATTTGCTGCGCTGTCAACTTGCGGCTCGACTTTCTCAGCTGTCTTCACTGACGTATCCGAGGCTTTTACCGACTTACTTGACTGAAGTTCCGCCATATAAAACGCAGCACGTGTCAGATAAACATGGCACTTTCTGATCCCCAATCGGTATATGAGTATGGACTAAACAACGATCAGCTGTTCCGCAGGGATCCTTGTCCAGGGACAACGATTTGAACGAAATAAGGGGTTCTCTCACGGACCACTTGCGCTGTGTTTCGGGGCAATTTTTCTGCCAGCACTCTGGCTTTTCGCGCTCAAAATTCTCCTTCTTGACAGCCCTCTGTTTGTAATCGCCGAAGTCCCTTCGTTAGTGCCTTGAGGGTTGCCGTAATTCCTGTACCTACTTTACTTTACTTTACTACGGCTGGCCCCTTGAAAAGGATAAGCCGGCTCCATGAATGTTTCTGATGGTCGCTATGCATGCTTGGCGGCTGGCTGCAAGATCCTTGCAAATGTTGATCCAGTTTGTTTTCCATCGGC